CTGACCAAGGCTATTGAACAGGCTATGAAATTAGTCAAAGGCAGAATGGTTTTGACTTATACACAGGATAAAAACACACTAAACCTTTTAACACTGAGATATATATATAAAAATATATTTTTTTTTTTTATAATATATATATATATATATGAGGTTATTCTCCTTTTTCCTTATCGTCCTTTCAGTTCAATACAAGTGACCAATGCTGCTGCTGCTACTTAAGGGCTTCAAGGTTTGATTGAATTGAGGCCTTAAAACTCCGTCACCATGTCTTTTTTATAACACTCTTCTTATCTGTCAAACCAACTTCAGGTTTTTAGGAGTTTGTGAAGTGCAGCGTCCACCCCTTAATCTCACTGGAGCAGTGGCATATATTTTACCATGACTAAGATTATCAGCAAAAGTTGTTTGCTTGCTTACTACCCTGTGAACAACATCCAATCTCTGTTTAAAATGCTCCAATGGTCTTGTCTATTTATTTAGAAGAAGATCATAAATGGACAACAATAGTTTCTGGCAAGCCTACCTTATGTTGATAATGGTTATTCTCTGGGTAATCCTCGCCTATTTTGCACACCCAAATGGAAAAGCAAATAACCTAGGAACTGTAAACCAAAATCACGTGTGATACCTTATTTGAAAGATAACGCCTTCTAGTTTCTGAATATATACATAAATTAAATGAAAATTGGGTGAGTAAAACACAGCTCAAGCTGCATCAGTTCCAACCTGACTCAAAGTTGTTGTTTTTTATCCTTGAAAGTAATAGGTCTTTATTGAATAGCAGCAATAAAAATGCTTGCTTGTTGTCATGTTTACATGTTGACATGCTATATCTGTTTTTATTGTGCTTTGGTGCTTGCTATGTCCATTTTACCGGTTTAATTTTCATGCATTCTGAGTTATTAGTTTTAAACACTTTAAAACAGGTCGTCCGCGACCCTGTGGGTTTTGAGAGGTTAAGTTTTTGATAAAGATGTTGCAATAGCAGAAATAAAATTTTTCCAGAGAGATGAAATTTTCTCAATCTTAGCTTACGTTTTAACACAAAGTATGCTTTTTCTCTCATCAAAAAACAAATGCTTTATTAATAGCTTTTTATCCAAACCTTTAAAGCTAAAACTGATGGGCATCAGGTAAAAGATAGTTTTCAGCTTTGGCTGGTGCAGCAACTCACAGTCGAGCCATGCAAGCCAAGTGAGTATCCGATTCTTACCCTGCTGAGTCATTTCAGTTCAACTACGCTCCGTCTTCCCCCACATATCTGTAACTAGAGCCGCCTCAAAGGATTACTTAATGCACTGGAAGCATTCTCTCTGTCAAAGAGACCCAGTGTCACACTAATATGCTTTGGAAAAAAAAACACAATACACTGGAAAAAAATCGAAATCTAGATAAGTCATTTTTTCTTAAAATAAGTGCATTTGTTCTTTAATTGAGGAGGTAAGTGAGAAACTTTGCCAATGGAACAAGACAATTTACACTTAAAATAAGAAAGCACAACTGCATTGTCTTATTTCAAGTGCATATTATCTAATTATCTTATTGTAAGACTAAAGATACTAAACCATCTCATTTACCTACTTAAATTATTGGTAAATACACTTAATTTAAGAAATTGTTACTTATTTCTAGATCGTTTTTCCAGTGTAGAAGCTAAATAGGAGGAATACTAACAGAGGAGTTTGGCAATTGACAATCCGACTTCTAAAAATGAAAGATATTAACTGTAAAATGCGGCCTGATTATTTTGTTTAATGTCTCTCAAGTTTACCTGTCTAAACAGATGTCATTGTGAAAGGAGGAAAAAGGTAAAAAGGGTGCAGCTGGGGTGCCTGAAGAGTCGATGTAAGAGCTCCCTATTCTACACTGGGTCTAAAACTGAACAAATGGCTGAAAGTCTTAAAGAAAATTGAAAATGGGACAACCTCCCTTGCTCATTCATCAGTTATCTTCATGAAAGTTAGTGTGGAGATTGTGGTTTTAAGGAGTATCTTCTCATTCAGTAAAGAAAAGAAATCCATGTTCTGATAATGAAAGTTGAATCCATGTGATTTTCACAAAATGTCCACGTTTATCACTATTTTGGTTAAAACTGCAATCTACTCATTCCTGCGAGTTGTTTCCAATTTAATGTAAAATTTACAAATGTCAAGTTCAGCCAACCTCTTCCAGTTTGTGGCTAAACTAATGTGTTTTTGTTCTGGTTTTAACAATTCTACAATAATTAATTTTAATTAAAGAAAAGAAAAAAGAAAACAGAACAATATTGAACAAAAAAGAAATCCAAAGCAAAAATTCTAACTATTTTACAGATCAAGTTGAAATCATGTCAATCTAAAAAGATTTCATATTGCATACAACTTAATCTATTTAGTCTATAAGTTGAACACTTATAAGTTTGATAAATAGGTAGGCTCAACATTAATCAATTACTTGCTACAAATTGAAGCAAATAGAGACAAATAGAGACTACTTTCATTCTCAATAAAGCTCTGTGTTTTATTTGATTTTTGATTTTGTAAGAAATGCTTATTAAAAATTAGCACAGCGTTTCTTGGTTAATTGGAGAGACCATGCTGTTTTACAGATTTATTTGATATAAAAATTACACATCATTTTTGTTAATTGTACACCTCAACAGCCCTGGATGTATATTCCTATATGATTCTCATTTACTCTAAGGGTAGCATTTTCTCAAAGACAGCAGGTGGGTTTTAATGATTTTCTCTGTTTTGTCTTTTTGTTGATCGATGCATCTTGCCTGATTCCTGCTGGATGAAGTTTCAGCCTTATTGCAATTCTCATACTGATTATGTTAGTAGAGTGCAAAGAATGGATGGATGGACCTACTTTGGGAAAACACAAATGTCGTAAAAGAGGTACCTTTGTACTTTAAAGATGACATTTCTGACTGATACAGTTTTATAAAATCATGGTAGAAATCTTTAAAACTACAGATTCAACACCCGGTTTCATTATTTTAGTGGGGTTTTGTGTGTTTTTGTTGCCTTATAAGCCTGACAAGGTTTACAAAAGTCATTAATTGAAACATCTTTTAGAATTGATAGAATTGGGGCTACCAACGGGCCATTAAAATGTTGAATGTGCTGTTTTAATGGTTCTGCCTGTTCCCTGCATGCATGAAAGCCACTGGATTCCAGTTTGGTTTAAATTCCATGGAAGTAGACCTCATTCTGAGGTACTAATGAGGTTCGAACCAGAACTCAGAAGCCAAGGTGAATGGTTATATAGATCGAAACACATCTATAATCATCCATTTATAAGGTTTATAATAATAGATTTTTTTATTTATTTTAGTATATTTATCATGGTTCATTTATTAAGTGTCGAAAAATACTATATAGCTAACCAGTTATTCTTATTTTTTTTGGGCGGGATACTGTACACATTTTACATTGTTCTCTTTTTCGCCCGACTGAATTTATCTGCAATTTGGTATAATTTTAGCTTAAAATAAAATCAATATTTTTACTTTGTTAGTATAGCAGACAGCAACAGCAGATTAGATACTTCTGAAATAATCCTGTAATGTTAGGCAATATCTTATAATATTGATTATTTTTCAAGCATTTGCTGACAGGTTCTGAGCAGCAGATAAATGGATTCCTGGATGGATTATCTAGCTGATTGTTTTGCTTCATTATTGGACTGTCTCTGCACTCTCATATAATGTTATTGAATTATCATGCAGCTGTATAGCTGAGTTGATCATTTTGATAACCTTCTGGTGAATGGTTCAGTACATATGAACTGAAACAGCACCATTGGTTTACCATTCCAGAAATTGGGAAAGGTTTTAACCCTGCAGTGGATTGATCTTGAATATGAATTACATTCGCCCACATTCAGTTGGAAAGTTTAACTCTGTTTTTTGCTGCTCTGTATTACTCCCACCTACAACATTCTATAACATTACAAATGCTGACAGGAGCAGACGTCTCTTTCTGGTATCTGACATCCATCCAGCATGAAGCAGGATTTCATATAGAACAACAAAGCCACCCACACTCAGAAATCTAACCCCTTAGTCTGCAGATGCGGACTTAAAAAAAAAATGCCTTCAACTCAATGCAGTTGATTTAAGAATTCACGGTGCAGCTGCAAGGCACAGCAGCTTATGCAGAGCAAGGCGGGGATTGCATCCTCTGCATCCCAATGAGGTGACAGGACTGTGCATCAGCCCCACCATTCAGCTGTAACCGGCTAACTGCTGCAACCTGGAGAGCAACGGCTCGACAGCACGCACGACTGAGCATATTCTGAGAGATCCCTGCATTAAAACTGCTGGTGCCCTTTGCCTCAAAGCTAAAGCTGACAAGGTGGCTCAGTTACAGAGCTATTATTAGGACTAATTAGAGGCAAATATTATCCAAGATAACACTGAAGAGGATAGTGCTCAAAGGATTTATAGCCCAGAACTCAGTTTTCTCTTAAAAGTCTCTCTTTCCTTCATTCTTTTCAAGGACTTTGCAAGCTGAGTGAAAGTGTGTTTTTTTAGTAAGTTACTTTGTGTGAGAGATCATTAGTCTGGTGCAGGATGGGAAACAGTCCAGTGTCCCGACACAACTATCCAGCAAGTGCTGCTCGTTGGCGTCCCTTTAAATCCTTAGCACTGCAGTGCTGTTAAATCAACCTCACGGCAGGCAGACAACTCACCTCCCAGCGCAGCTTTCATTATAAAATTCATGATGAAGCAGTTCTGTTTTCTCCTTCCTCAGCCAGCGACGTTATCAGGGACAAACCTGGAACAAGGGGACAGAATACAGGAGCTGTCACTGCACACGCTTTATTGGTGTTACTGGAGTTTAAATGGGATCGGAGGATGAGGAAGAAGGATTGATGCAATGCAGGGGGGAAAAAACAACAAATGCATAAATGCATGCATAACTTTTTAAAGAAGAAAAATCACCAGAGCAAGTTAAACAACTGGGGTGCTATAGAGTTCCTTTAAGAGGCTTAAATTTTATTTATTTTTGTCATACAAACACTAAACTGGGTTAAGGCATCGTTACCTTCTGGAAAAACACTGACTTTAGATGAGACACCTGCGCCCTCGATTTACAACCTCACTTCATCATGAGAGGATTTATGCTGACACCGCCTGACTTCCTGTAATCCATCCTCATATAAATGACTTTAAGAGATGAGGAAAAGAAGGTGAAACAAAGGCAGGGTCACAGTGAGTGAGGGGAGGCTGCTTCATGTGTCCAGGGTCTCAAACATCCCTTTGCAACAATAAAAAAACAGGCTGTTTTCATATGCTTTTCTTTCACTTCAACATCCTCGAGTGACACTTAATATTAGAAGATGTTTTTCTTAACATATTCATCCTGATTTCAAACTATATTTTTTATAATCTTATACAGAAAATGCATTTATAATGTTAAACTTTATACCACTGATACTAAAAACTCGTTAATCAAAACTACAGAGATTGAAAAAACTAAATCACTCCAAATTTCTGTACTCCTTCTAAAATTAAGAGTCATTACTGCATGTCTGCTGTTTTCTCCTGAATAACCTTGACTCTGCAGTGCTAGCATCTTCAACTTCCTGCAATCATTCATCCTAAGTCAGTTTAACGTTTAATTGTTTCCAAATTTCTTCCCACTGCGCCGTCATCTGCTGCAGGACCCTTAGTTTCTCTTCTCCTGAACCCATTCAGTTGTAACTAAGTGTTCTTGGCACAGCATTCACACTCACTTTACATCAAATATTACTACATACAACAGCCAAAATCCAGCCTTATAAATATAAGTTACATAAAAAAGGGTGTGCAAGCTTCAGCATCATCTTCAGAGAGAGGTGTGTAAACCTATCACTGTCCCGTCCCATCATCAAACATCCCCATCCTTTACCTGCTTGTGATGCTCCTCCTTAGCACTCTTTAAATCGGCCGTCTTCCTTCCTTCCCTCAATAGGAAGAAATAAAACACTATTTATGCGTCTAAAAATGAAGCAATGTGCCTCCCTTTGTGTGAGCAGCTCTCAGTTTGCAGTCATGCCGGCTGTGTCAGAGTCAGGCTGCAGCGGAGGAGGAAGAGGAGGAGGAGGAGGATGGGGAGAGTCTATTCCTGCAGGACGAGGGGGAGAACATGCACAAAATGAGGGAAGGGGAGGGGGAGTTACAGAGATGATACACCCTACCTTTTCTGTTTAGTTTAGCTCCAACAGTGAGCATGAAACATAAAAAGTATGTGAATATGAATTTTTTGAAATTTGAAATATTTTTTTGATGAATGAATGTGACTTTTTACTGCTTTTGTTTATTAATCTTTATGAAGACTGATGTAATTTGCTGTCAACCAAAACCTTTGATTGTAAAGGAAAGACAGCGGGGCAAAGGAAAGCTATTTGAAATTAAGTTTTGTTCTAATTTTTTCTGTTATCATTCAATGCCCCGCTGTACTCTTTATTACTACAATCACCGATGCGTTTTTATCCTTGTGCATATATAAATCAAACAGACAATTTATTGAAATAGTAGGATATTTCAAGGACTGGATCAACCCAATTCTCACCCCTGTTTCTCTTGGGGTTTTGCACCCAGCTCTCTCATTGACCTGAAAAAGACATCCACCTGCTCAACTGTTCCCTACCCCACTTATCCCTGCTGTGACGTTAAGGACAAACAATGAATTTATCACTCGACCTTGATTCTGCTTTTAAACTTGCAGCTTTAAAATGAGCCAATCTAACCGTGTATGTGCTGCTGTTGACCTATTTTTCTTGTTTTTGGGGGGATATTTGAGAGGAGAAAACCAAAGAGCCCAGGAAGCACTAAGTAGAGCCTAAAATGCAGCATTCTCAATCTAGCATCCAAAGAAATGTCATTTTATTTTTTTTATTGTTTTTTTTATAAACAGTGTCCTGTCTGGCAATATGGCAATAATAATAATTGTCTTGATGCCAAAAAAGAGCCCAACAGATTTTACTTTCACAAGTGGAGCAGTACGGCTATCGCCATAGTATTCCGCTTGATAAATGCATATAAATAGCTTTATTATAATTTATGCAGGGAGTATTACAGATTATATGGACACTGCAATGTAAATAGAACAGGAAAGGAAAAAGAAAAAAAGGAGAAAATATGAAAGAAAGAGGAGATAAAAGGGAGATAATGATAAAACATCTTCAGTCTGCTTCATCACCTGCAAAGAGATGTAAAGAGAACAGCACAACCAACGGATATAGTATAAGAGATACAATAAAGTAACACCTAGATACTATCGCTGAATTATAAGTAGTGTTATTTAATCTGACATGTATACTGTGGTAGCTGAAGATAAGAATATGGGCTTTTTGTATGGAAGTTAATCTCTAAGTACCTGGAAATAAGCACCTGTAGTTGTTTGTGAAAGTGCACTTGTGCATGTAAAGTTTATACAAAGGAAAAATGCTCAATAGTGGTTGTGAAGAGCCGAAGAGGTGCCCCACCCAGAGCACCGAGGCAAGCGCCGGGGGACCCAAAGCCCCAGACGCCCAGGAGGGGCCAACCCAGGAAAGCCGACCCCCCACCAAGGGATGAGGAGAGACGGCCCCGAGGAAATCCCCCAGCCACCACAACGCCGCAGCAGGCTCTGCCAGCATCCAGCAACCCCAAAGTGGATCCGGCCATGGGCCACTTGTGCAAATTTGTGTGAGCAATCTGGACAATTCAACCAACCTAAACATTGAAGTCTTAAACGCCACATGCAGGATGTGTGGCATGTTGAAGGGATTTCAGCTGCCCTTTATGGACGCAACACCTGTACGTCTATGCAAACCATATTGTTTAGTGTGATTTGGATCCGTCGCGCAAAAAAACTACAAGGAAACTGGGAAAAAAACTACAACAAAAAAATTAAAATCACAGCCAAACACCGAAGGGTGAATACATGTTTTTTAACTGCACTACAAATTTGAATTTATGCAATAAGTCGTTATCTTTAACACCTTCTTAGTGTGTTCTTCGATCCCTAACTTAACCTTTTTTTCTTTTTTAGAGTCAGTTATACAAAAGTTTTTACTTTCTAGCTGCATAGCAAAACATACACTGCAAAACAAATCTAAAAATAACTAAAAAATTAAAAAAGGTTTGTTTACCTTCAATATTACCAGGTAAATAAGATAATTAGATTTTATGCATGCCTGAAATAAGACAATGCATTTTCTTTGGTTCTTATTTTAAATGTAAATTGTCTTATTCCATTGGCAAAGTGTCCCACTTAGTTGCTCAATTCAAGAAAAATCGACTCGCTTAGATTAAATTTTTTACAGTGTAAGCTAATTTTTCCTCGTGTGAATTGGGATAGCCTGCAGCACCACTGCAAATTCCTATTTTGCAAACCTTGAAGAGTTGTGAATGTTTGAAATTCTTGGATTTTTGTATTTGATTAATCCAAATGAGCCCTTTCCATTATTAGAAACATAAATTATTCATTTATTTCTGCACTTATTCTGACTTTCTAAATATGACCAGACTTTGTGGAGTACTCCTTTTAATTTTTCATATCAAATAAAATAGAAATAGAAAGTAGAAGGTGCTTTGGTAGTTAAATTGAACACTGAGACCTGGTTATCATAACCTCGCTCTTGACTACGTAAGCTGTGTTCAGGTACATTAGCCAAAAAACTGCAGAAATGTTTTATTTTTGCTTTATAAGACCAGACTTTTTTGTGACTAGCAATAAAAAAACAATTGCATTTCTTATTTGATGTTTTCTGCTTACAAGACAAACCCTCTCAGAATTGTTAATTATTAGTATATTTTTCACTGTTTCTTTTTATATGTAAGAGCAATGTTGCTTTTAAAAGTGGCTTTGGCAAAGAATAGCAGACTTTTAATATAAAAATTCAAACTTTACAAACCATCATATTCCAGAGGAAAGGTATCCCACCTGCCTGCCCAGCAAGACAAAATAATTGGTAATAAAAGGATATAAATGTCCACAAAGTGCTCCAGCCAAGCATGTACTGGAAGTATAATTTATGGTATAACACAATGTGCTAGCTGCATTATTTTCACTTATCAGATTTTTGTTTTGTTTTATCAAAAAAGCATGCAATTTCTAAACTAAAACCTTTGGGACACCTCCATAATAATTTCACATATCGGAATTTTATCTGATAAAATTTTGTTTATAAACTGATATTAAAAAAGACTTTGTGCTGTTCTGTTTTCCTGATGCTGTCAGGTTCAGAACAAATGGACCCAGGAACCTCTGCAGGAGGAGAACACAGGTTAGTGACCACGTCTATCTGGCGGAGGACGATAATAAACATCACTAACCTGGCCTTAAAGTTCAGTCCGCACCTAGAGGACGAGGTTGGCACCCAACAAGACGCGATGGAAGAGGTACCATAGGGAATTCGAGGACGGTGTCGGGAAACAGTTTCAGGTTCAGTATACAGGCAGAATCCAGCAGGAATCTGAGAACAGATTAAGCAAACATATCAGAACAGGAACAGGCAGGCTCAGAGATCTAAAGTCTGAATGGGTCAGGATCAGGCAATCAGAAACACTCAGGTACACTAGACACATCTCACCAAAGGTTTGAATAATCTGGCTCTGATGACTGGTTAATGGCTGGTTAAATAGAGGCTGGAGCAGGTGGATCAGATGAGCGGTAATGAGAACTGGGCAGGGATAAGCAAGTGAGTGAAATGATTAATGAGACCATTCATCAGCGCCAATATCATGGCAGATGCATGTCAATTATCTGCTATAAGCTGAAGCTCTTAAGCATCTCTGCAAAGTTTATTTTGAAACTCTGAAGGTCCATATCCTCATGAAAATGGTCTTTTACATTCATGTAAACAAAGTCCGCTTATATTTTCCAAACCCAAGATTTAAAAAAAATCCACTTTAATCATATTTTGAGCACATTTGTTCTTCATAAAAATTTTAAATATTAATGCTAGACGTTTCGTTGTTTAATATGACTTGTCGCTGGCTGGATGAGCACAGGGACGGCTGGTCAGGCTTTTGTTAGAAAATTCCTTGAACCCAAGCTGAGAAAGCTATAATCTTCATGCAGTGTGGAGCTAAAAGGCTGACAAAACTGAATTAATATAGAAACTCCTGCTGCTGTGTTGCTAATTATGCTAAAACAACAGTGCTCCTCTGACCTGATCTCCTCATTGACCTCTGCAAATCTCTACGTAGTTAATAGCTCAAAAATAGCACCATGGATTCATAACTCCCCTCCTGTGTGCTATGAAAGGTTCCTGCAAAGATCTGCAGGGTGATGAGAATATTTTTTTTGTTGTTTCTCTTTTTTTTTTTTTTTATGCCCACAGATATGAAACTACTGAAATCGTTTTTTTCCTTTTAACCTCCTTTTACTTGATTTGAAACCTTTTTTGTCGACATAAACTTAAATCTCCAAGATTCTGAAGCAGAAGCACTCGTATTTTTGAAGATCGGCTATATTATTAATGATTCCTCTGCAGTGTTCTCCGTGCCGGTGCCAGTATTTTCCTCTGTGATGCTGTAGGTCATTTCCCTCTTTCTGAAGGGCGCAGTGGCATCTGAAACAATTCTCTTAAGTCCAAAGGGTGGGGGGCGGGTCTTCTTTGGATATTAGGCTGCTGTCCATCAGCTTTGCTGCACTTAGAGGCCCCCAGAGACACTGAAAGAGGGAAAGGAGGAGCTGAAGGAGGGATGAGGAGGGGAAAAGGGAGTAGCAGTTGCATGTAATTCTGTGTATGTCTATCAAAGCCCCAGACATGGGAAGGTGTGCTCTGCTGCAATGCGTAAAGGCATAGCGGCTCCTTCCAGACAGCAGACACTCTGACTTAAATGCTACATGATTGACTGGTGGAGAGAAGTGTTTCACACAAGGCTTATGAACTGACAGAGCTGCTGATTGGCTGGCTGACATATATATATATATATATATATATATATATGTGTGTGTGTGTGTCTAGAAGCTTTATCCCCAGGTTTGTTTTGTTTTGTTACTGTTTTTAATTGCTATCATCCAAACTTATTCAGAAGTGTTCAACCTTGATCCTGAAGCAGTAAAGAAAATTTAACCACATCC